TCTTTAGCTAGGAAGAAGTCGACTAGAATCATTTTTTTTGTCTTGTGCGAGAAATTTCCCTTGCAAAACAGAAATAAAGTTCGGGCCGAGCGGCCCGGAAGAATTTGAAGCCCGCCCGGCCCACCGGTCTTCGTTGAGGAGACCCGCCCGGCCCGGAATAAAGACCTTCTCGGGCCGGGCTGGGCCGGGTCTGGGCCGGGCCGAGCCGGGCCGGGTCACCGGGCTGGGTGGCCCGTTTCGAGCCCTGCTACACCCTCAACTCACACCCATATACCCACCCACATACTCACCCACATCCACACCACACCTCCACATCCTACCAAATGCGTAACTGCATTGAACTAAGAAAAACGTCCTACTTAAATCAATTGTCCCTTCGAAATAGCCTCATGTAGACCAATAATCTTCAGCGTGGCCGCTTTCGGGGACAGAAATATTGCGAAATTTTGTTACATTGGAGACCAGTTGTGTTGTTGAAAATTTCTCAGAGAAAGTCGAATTTTTTAAGGTGGTTGCGAGAGAAATATTAATATCAGATCTGATGCAAGAAACAAATTGTGCATCCGCAACCATGGCCGCCTCCAAATCCGCTCACCCCCCCCCCCCATCCTAAGACCCTCGCACGGGGCCTGCGCACACCCACACCCCAAATGAACATTCGAACACAAAAATAACTTTGGATCATTCATGAGATCGATTCTTTGATGCGTCTATGAGTAAGTTCAGTTTTTCCCAGCGAGTCGACGAATATTCATTTCGGTTTTCTGTCGGTCTGAATGGCCAACAGGAAGAAGTTTCTCATACATAGCCAATGCACGCTGATAATAGTCAAGTGCAATGTTTGGTTTGTTTTGATTTTCATGACAAGCACCGATGTTATTCAAACCGAAGGCAATAGCGATATGATCAGATGGATAAAATTTCTCTTGAAGTTTCAATGCTCGCTGATGATAATCAAGAGCTTCGTCGTACTTTCCTTGATCTTGAAGAATGCGACCAATGTGGCTGAGGCTTTTAGCTACTTCCACATGACCAGATGGATAAAATTTTTCTCGAATTTTCAACGCCCGTTGATGATAATCGAGGGCCTCATCGTACTTTCCTTGACTATCGAGAACGCGACCAATGTTGTTTAAGCTTCTAGCAATATGGATATGACCAAATGGTAAAAATTCCTTGTAAATTTTTAGTGCTCGCTGATGATAATTGAGAGCTTCATCGTATTTTTTTTGATCATGAAGAATGCGACCAATGTTGTTGAGACTTCTGGCTATGTCGACATGACCGGATGGATAAAATTTTTCTCGAATTTTCAACGCTTGTTGATGATAATCGAGCGCTTCATCGTGCTGCCCTTGATGATCAAGAATGCGACCAATATTGCTAAGACTTGTAGCAATATCGACATGACCAGATGGATGAAATTCCTCTCGAATTTTCAATGCTCGCTGATGATAATCGAGAGCTTCATCGTACTTTCTTTGATAAGAGAGAATGTTACCAAGGTAATTAAGAACATGGGCAGAATCTATAATTCTTGCTGGTTCACTTTTCATCATGCGATCATAGGCACGTTCAAAATATTTTCGAGCTCTCTTCCATTCACCTTTGAAATCAAGAGTTCGACCTATATTGAATTCAATCCAAGCACGATCTTCATCCTTTGAATCATTCAATAATTGTTCAAAATATTTTTGAGATTTATCGTATTCACCTAAATTACACAATAGTCTACCAAAAACAATCGAAACGCTTAGTTCTTCCGTTTCTTGACGTGTTAAATCAAGATAATCTTTTGTAATTTTTTGTCCTTCATTTGAAAGATTCATTGTAATGATTTGTAATGATTCCTGCTCTTCAATAGATTCAATTATAAAGCAAGCATTTAAATCAAATAAAACTTCTTCTTCATGTGGATATTGACTAAATTCACTAATATCAGCAAAAATAATATTTTTATTTACTTGCTTAATATCGCATTGAATATGAAAAAGAACAGGAATAACATCAATTCGTTTTGTGGGTTTCATTGCAAAAGATAATGCTAATGATTTTCTTTGACTTGTCGATAAATAACCATTGGTTGAAACAAGCTTCCCTTGATTTTCTTTTAATTTATCAAATTCTTCTTTATCAAGTTTAACTCCTCGATAAACATTTAGGATTTTGTGTTTTGATGATAAAATCTTCGTATGTTCTTGTTGTAAAGCTTCTGAAAGATCACCAATAAAAAATCGAAATATATATAGAAGATTAATATCTTCTGTTCTCAATGCTTTATTGATTAATTTATAAACAAAGGTTTGTTTTGAATACCAAAGTATTGAATCTTCTGATCGATACGTTTTTTCAAAATCTTCAATTGCTCTTATTTCTTTTTTATTCCCACGATAATAGTCCTTACATATTTGAATCATTTGTTGTTTCGCTTGTTGATTTCGTGGAAGACGAGCAACGACATAATTAAATAGTTGAAACCATAGAAACGCTGCTGATTCTTCGGATAGATCTTTCAGAGCTTTTTCATGTTGGTCAAAAAATGAAAATGTTTGCATATGTCTATTGACGAGGTCGATTTGTTCTTCGATTGATTGACATAAATCATCAAGCTTGACATAAATTCCAACAATTTTTGAATATTCATTGAATAGATGTTCGTATCGTTCTTTTTTCAAACAAAAAATAAAAATTGAGTCAAGCTGACGGCAAGAAGACGTTCGAGATAGGATTTGTGATGCTTTTGATCCCGATGTTATTAAGAAAACTTTTTCTTTATCGACTGATTCAATAAATGTGGCACATTGTTCAAGATCAGTCGAGAAAACGACATAATCATTAATAAGACGAAGTTGTTCTTTTGTTTTTTCCGTATCTTCACGTGATCCAATATTTGGATCAAACCAAATAAGTGTTGTACTTTCTTTATTATCATCATCATTTGTTTTGATAGATAGGTGATCTAATGATAAATTGTCTGTTGTTTTATTTTTTGTTGGTATTGCTTGTGGCATAATTACTAGAAAAAATTCCCTCGATAAAAATTCAACGTCAAAATGCAAAAAAAACGAGAAGATTTCAAGAGATCGGAGCAATATCGAAATGGATAAATAACATTCGCAATCAACATCACATGTAGCAATTCATTTTTTCCTTCCATTAAAACCCAGACATTTTGTTTTATGTATTTAAAAAGATTGCTGCTTGGTGAGTTTTTCTTCTGTTTTTATTGGAGTAGAAAGAACTGTTTTTTGACGACAACAGGTCCAAATTAAAGTCAAATATCTTTTTGCCGTTGTTTTTTATATTTCGACACAGTTCGTGGAATCAATTTTGAGGATTTTTTTTTTAATTGGTGGGATCAGTATTTTTATATAACTTCAACAGTCATTTCCAATCGTGTTTCACAAAAAGAATTAGCACTACGTCACATATATCGGTGAGAAAATGAAATACACCAAATTGTAATATTTCTCATGTATGCCAGCTTTTCGCGCTCACTGCTGGTTATCACAAATCATCAGTGTCTGTAGTCGTGGGATGCCGGTAAGGAAGAGCTGTCTGCAGAGAATAGTAGAAAATGTTCGGATACAAACCTACATTCACTCTGTTTTATAGCGAGCTCCATAAAAGAAATAATAGACAGCACATAAAAAAAGTCAATATTGATATTTTGATCACTAACATCTTTTTCAATTTTAGAGAATTCCTGTTTAAAATTATTACATATGGGCATGCTGAACCATAGGGCACACCGATTCTTATTTGTTTATGTAAGTTCAGTCAGTTATCAGAAAAATGTAATTTTTTTTACCAATTATAGTACATGTATGATGCTAATGATCTGCTATTGTTTGAGCTCTATATTTCACTAAAACCAAGAGTTATCAAGTGTTTTTTTATAATCCTTTTGTTAAAGTACTATGCATCTAATTTGTTAACGTACATCAATTTTTACTAGGCATCTTTTTGTCATTTAAAGTAAAGCGGACTTCAATGCTAGTGTGGGTGAGAGTGTCGGTGTGGATGTGGGACGTATTGATGTGGGCACCATTCTTCTGTTAACATTCATGTCCACACTCAGTTACAGGCACGCGCACACCCACATCCATACTCACCTTGTGTTGCTGGTTCAAAGATGTTTCTCGTAGATATTCTGCAGGATTGTTGGTTGCCTTACAGACTACCACACTCACTCTTGCAAACCACTGTGCCATACAAAAAATTTAACCACTATCTGATAATGGGTGTGGGTATGGTACGAATTTAAATTCGCACTCACACCCACCTATAAAATTCCAATTTTCGTGATTATACCCAAGTAATGCTCGTCCATCTTACCCGCTTGACCCTAAACTGAATATTCGGCTCTTTCGATGTTATAGACTGCTCTAAAGTCTTCAACAAAGCTAGTATCCAACGTTTCAAAAGGGTGGGTAGGTGTGTGGAGGTTGATATTAGCGTCAATCTCGTTGTGCATAATGATATGCGGGTCCATGTGATCATTTTTGTCATAAATTCATCTAATCAAGGTGACACCCACACATTGATATTCAACAGAAATCTAAATGAACTACACTAAGACAGCAGTATCCGTACGTATCCGAAAAAAAGATTATATTCAGTTTTCTGAGAGGCGACGAAGGAAACGCATTCGCGACACTATTGTGAAAACGCGCCATACTCTTTGAAAATTCTCCTAAAAATCTGTATGCTTACCAGCACATGTGTCGACAATGTTGTTTACTAGAGCGTTCGCTAGAAAAATACGAGCTTAGCTGAACTCCTACCTTAAAATAAATCATATTAGATCTGGTCTGTAATCGGAATACCACTCCTGAAAGAAGCTCCTACTCAAAGTAGCCGTCAGATTAGACAAGTAATTTGAATTTACCCTATACATTCCGACACGTGAATGAACACATACAAGAACACATACCAACAGAAAAACTCCCTTTTATTTCATTCATATCTACTTTCGATACAACGAATATAAATTCTTTTAGTGATGTTTTCCGTCAAATGTACTATTCAAATACTGTGCATGTGCAGAAAAGCCGTTCTCACACTTTATTTCAAAATATTTCCCAGTTCTTTGTCACTTCTGCTTCCTATTCAAACCAATAAGATCTAGATCGTTGACATTTAGTCGAAGAATCCCAACAGCCTGAAGTGTTCTTTCAGGGGATTTTTCAGCACAGCGGCTAGTCGCTCGTCGGCGCCCCTTCGGGCCACCACTCACGGCTAGCCACTGCCATGCTTAATTCTTTTGCTCCATAAAACCATCCTTTTTAATTTACACTTCACCTGATCTGAGACTGCGTTTACTTCGAAAAATAGTTAGATTTGTAGCACGAGAATTCTCGACGAAAATTTCTAAATCGAAACTTTGTTGTGAACTATTCCTGATTTCTTCAATTTCATTGCTTAAGTGGAAAATTAGAGTTTTATTGAAATTTCTCATTAAGGAAATATTAGCGCAGTATTCTCAAAAAAATCTATCTTTTACAGAGATCTCTTGTGAGATGAATCTGCAGTGTGTGTGCTTGCAATATGAGCGACTAGCCGTTCCTTTTACCACAGCGCCCTTAAGCAATAATTGTTTATTGTCCATTTAACATAAAAGATATGACATCATTTACATATATCTTGTTACATTACTTTCTTCGAGTGATAGCGGCTAGAAATTCTACGAGCCAGAACTCCTGAAAAAATATACAAGGTTAACTATATGATTTTTTCATAATAATAATACATTACAATTTACCACCACATTCCAGTTTAAGACCCGCACCTATCTATACATACATTTCCTCAGATCATAGATTTAACTATATGAAAGAACGAGGGTGGATACGCTAGCAAAATCAGATCAATTTGAAAATTTTAAGAAAACCCAGCTAATTTTTATTCCTTTTCTCCATCATTTCAAAAGACACCGGTGCCATTCTTTATACATAGATGGCTTTTACTATGCTTTGAAAAGTTGCAAAGATGCGGAGATTTGAAATGCTTGTGCAACACCTCTTAATAAAATCACAATGGTACTTCTATACCAAATATATAGGATTTCAAGGTGTGAACCACTTCGATCTCATGGAGATTTGAAAGCTATTGTCGAAGCATTCCAAATCTTCGTGTCTTTGCAATTTTTGAAGACATAATGAGAGGTATCTATGCATAAACAATGATGCCGGTGTCTGTTCAAATGCTAGAAATCGAAGTAATTTATCCTGTAGAATCTTATATATTTAATAGAGAAGTACCATTGTGGTTTTATTAAAGGCTACTGCCCAAACATTTCAAAGTCCCATGTCTCTGCAATTTTTTAGAGCATACTAAGAGCTATCTATGCAGAAAAAATGGCACGCTATCTGTTCGAATAATAAAGAAAACGGATACAAATTAGCGTGGTTTTCTTATAATTTTCAAATAGGACCAAATTTAGTAGCATATTCACTCCTGTCCTTTGCATTTAGTTCATGGATAGCCAAAAACGATCCGTGGTAACGACAAAAACGTCCTTTAATTCGTAAGTATTTTTATGAAATTGGAAAAAGTCGCACTATTCAATATCACTTTCTTCTTTCTCATACGTTTAGATTCAATCTAAAGTCAACATATATTCTATTAGTTCGCAATATAGTTAAGAAAATAAAGTTTCTAAACCAACACCAAACGAATCTGAGTGGCCCTGTTTCTTAATATAAAAAGCCTGTTTCTCCAGATGCCACATAGCCAAAACACGTGATTGGTTGAAGTGTCAGCTCAAAAAAAACCTGATTAGTCCAGATGAGAGTACTGAAAGCCTCCGACTGGCTGAACATATAGTACAAAGCAGTCACCAACTTCACTTTTCATTTCAATCTTCCATTCACGACCTTTGACTTTACCGTGAGAATAAAACTCGTTTTAATGTATATCATCCTCCCTTTAGACAAAGAAATCACCTCATATAAAGGCCCAAACGCAATAAAAAAAGCCTCCTATCTGATTGCTCAGCTTTTTAACCAATCATAAGCTCACATGTGACCTCTGATCTCAGATATAGAATCCTGGCCCTCGATAACGTATAGTAAAGTTTCACCGAAAGGCCCAAAAAGTTAAAAATAAAAAACCTCATTTCCGATTGGTCGGCTTTCTAACCAATGGAAAGGTCGGATATAAAATGTGATCTCAGATTCAAAATCCTGACCCTCAATAATCCACAGTAAAGCTTCATTAAAAGGTCCAAAAAGCTAAAAATAAAAACCTCATTTCCGATTGGTCGACTTTCTAGCAGATGGGAAAGTCAGATGTAAAATCTGACCTCAGATTCAGAATCCTGGCCCTCGATAACCTATAGTAAAGTTTCATGAAAAGGTCCGAAAAGCTAAAAATTAAAAATCTTATTTCTGATCGGTCGGCGTCCTAACCAATGGGAAGATCGAATGTAAAATCCGACCTCAATTACCTTTGGTGAAACTGAAGAGCTTACGCTTAAATAAAGTTCGCCTCTGATGTTTTTTTGGCCTTGACACATACACACATACAACCGCATTTTATTTCATATAACCTCCCTTCAGTCAAGGGAATAAAAATCATAGAAAATGACATACTCTATATGTCTCTATTTATTGATCAAATTAAAAATCTGGTCTCAGGGATTTTAATAGTTCTATATGGTCTACAAATTCTGACAGTTTCATGTGATTTGGAAACACTCGATGTAAACGTGGTTGAGATCCCATGAAAATATCCTACTAAGTATAAAGCATTCAAAATAGTTTCTTTTCCTTTTCGAATCTTCCTAATAATTGACTCACCACGGTCAAATAATTTCAATCAATACGTTTGCTGCTGATTGAAATGGTTTTGCGTCGTACACTTTTTTTTTCAAGTGACTTGATTCTTACTTTTGCAGCATTGCAACGCTTTTTGTTTCGTTCTGTGTGCTTTGCTGCCTCCTTCTTTTTTGTTTTTTTAATTTCTCTTCAAACATGCATTGTATTGAAAATGACTGCGCATAGCAACT